CGCTCTTAGGTTGGAGGCCATGGTTGGAGGCCATCGCTCTTAGGTTGGAGGCCATCGCTCTTAGGTTGAGGCCATCTCTCTTAGGTTGAGGCCATCTCTCTTAGGTTGAGGCCATCTCTCTTAGGTTGAGGCCATCTCTCTTAGGTTGGAGGCCATCGCTCTTAGGCTGGAGGCCATCGCCATCGCATCTAGGGTAAATTCGATTCAGATTGCGATGCCTGGACCACGAACGTCCACGAACCCTTGTGCCGAAAACGAGGGTCTTGGGAGGGGGGGACAAAGCGACCAATGAGCTCCAAATGAACAGGAAATTGTGAGCGGTTTCATCCCTCAAGTGCATCAGCAGCGAAGATCTGAGCGCCAGGAATCCAGGATCCTTTGTTTGGACGTCAAACACGGGCACCAAGTGCTTAAGGCTTCTTCAGATGGGTGGACTTCTTGGTTCATCCCTTTGACAGAGACAAGGGTGCGGCGAAAACGGTGCCGGCTCCGTGGGAAAGCTGAAACGCAGCGTATGCCCCGTGGCCCCCCGTTCGTCTTTAGAACCAATAGCTTCCTGTTACTCAGGCACTTGTTACTAGAAGCGATACACTTGTTCCTAGTAGCTTCTTGTTTCCTAATGCTTTCAGGTTGGTTTCCAGCGTGTGCTTTCATGTTGCTAGTTGCTTAATTGCCGATCCGCCCACAGGCGTGAGCGCCGCTGCGAGATGGCGTACGAAACACGATGACATGCGTTCGTACCAACAGACCTGAAAGTGATTCCGAATTGAATGGAGAGATAAGTGAAGAGATAAGTGAGAAAGGAATGGAAAGGAGATGAAAGGAGGACACCGAAAAAGCTGAGAACAGCAAAGAAGCAAACAACTCGCGACGCCCTGTTTGTCGGCAATGCAATGCTGCTCCCGGCTACTATTTCGAGATGAAGATGTGTTCTTCTACGTGCAATAACCTGTGAATAAACGGGATTGCAATAATTGAGCGTGTTCTTCGAAACCTTCCCATAGATGTTTTTTTTAAAGTATGTTTTGCAAACCTGTGTCTCGAATCCGCTGAATTGTTGTTGGCATGGGCTCTTGTCGGATGACGTCGCTTTCGGTTCACCGGATTTTGTGACGGCCTTCTTCAGAGTCAGTATTTCTCGACTCTGGTTTCGACATTGTCCTTTCTCCACATGTCTTTGCATCGTTCTGGCTTGCCATTCATTTGTGTTTTTTCCGATGTGTTTCTTTTTCCCTTCGGCTTCCTCTACAGTGAAAAGAAGTAGTTGACGTCGATGGTGATGCAGAAGCCACGGTGAAAGAGGGCAACGATCGTGCTCCAGCTTCACGTGCTTCGAACCCGAAGCTATTCCAACGCGGCAACAACAAAAAAACGAACCTTCGCAGAACTTTGCGGAAGGTATTTTGCATTGTTTTGACATGTAACTTCGTACATCGTACAATTTTTTGCTGACACCCTTTCTCCACATACCCACCATTTAGCCTTCACGAAAAATAAATTGTTTTCAGCAAACGTTGCAGGATTGCCGCAAACATGAAGACCAACATGAAGACTGATATGAACAAAGTTGGTACCTCCTTGGCCTGTACAATCCTGACAACCGATATATGCCAACTGCACACGTGTGATGGACATTTGGCAGCTCAAAATGTCCAAATTTTGAGTGGTAGAGATTGACTGTATACTGTACTAGGCATTGCTAGACACACATTCGCGCGGAGTTACCCGTCCCCCCTCCCTCTAGTACCTAGAAGCTACTAGGTGGAGGCCATCGCTACTAGTAACAACAAAGCTTTCTATAGGAACTAGAGTCAGAAGCAATGCTTTCGACATCGTTACGAGAAGTGAAGTCTACTTTGAGAAACACATGTTTGAATCGGTCGAATCGCATTTTCGCCAGGATGCGTGGTGGCCAACAAGTCCTGGAGTATGTTTGCCCCTGCCCAGCGCTAGGCGAGAAAACTTGAAAAATTTGCAATGCGTTGAGAGAGAGGTCTTTGTTGTAGAAGCAAGAAGCTAGTAGCTCCTCGCATTACTAGTAACAAGAAACTACTAGTAACAAAGGGCATCGCCACTAGGAGCAACGCTGGTCTTTGTTGTGCTTGTTCTTGCTTGTGTCCACTTTGTGGTCCACTTTGCTCAGGCGGTTTACCCAAGTCGTGGCGCTTCGAGTCAGCAAAAGAACTGGCCTCCGCGATCGTCGTGCATTTAGACATGGAGGGCCTCGCGGTGCACATCACTCGCTTGGGAGAGTTCTTCATGGTCACAAAGGACACAGGGAGAAGTAGCACAGCCAACTACAGATTTGAGTAACAAGCTACTAGGTGGAGGCCGTTGCTAGTAACAAGAAGCTCCTGTGACAAGAGTCACCATTGGACGCTGTCATACACCAACCATCTCAGACTGTGTGACACTCCGTCTCCACCCAAGCCGACAGACGGAGCAGACGGCGGAGCACGCCGAAAAAGAGGCGTGTTGCAGGGCCGCACATTGGCGACGGAAAGAAGCCGGAAAATCTCTGAGAAGAAGCCCCGTTCGTAGCGTCCTTGCTCCTAGTAGCGATGCCAGGATCCCCCTATAGTAGCGTCCTTGCTCCTAGTGGCGATGCCAGGAG